ACACCCTCCAGTAAAGTGGAGTCTATTTTTCCCATTTGTCCATGAAATGTACGCGCTCCACATTACTATACGGATCAGAAACCTGGCCGCTGCGCGCTGAGGACGTCAAAAAAACTTTCAGTGTTTGACCATCGATGTCTTAGGAGCATTGCCCGAATCTACCGGGAACACCGGATCAGCAATTCTGAGTTTCGTCGAATGGTATTCGGGAGAAATAACTCACCCTCGATAGAGGAACTGATCACCGCATAGGTTGCGCTGGCTTGGTCACGTGCTGCGCATGTCAGTCAACCGACTTCCTTGAAGTGCTCTTTTCGCACAACCAAATGAAGGGTGGTAGAGAGCCAGAGGCGGTCAAACAGTGACTTGGCAGCAAAGTGTGAAAGCCATTACTAGCAACCTCGGCTGCGCTGGTCATTGCCGTCTTCCTGGATGGGGACCACGAGACGGGCCATATTATTGGTTGGGGACATTGTCAGATATGGCCCGGTCGCGCCCTCAATACGCGCTCATGCATCCAAGCTAGTGCCTTCAATGCGTAGCTCCCTTCCCAACCCCCTCTTAACAGTCCATCTACAGTGTTGCATTTGCACACTAATTTATCAGCTCCCGCCTCCAATGCACAGCTACCTACCCCATCTCTCCAAATCATCGGTGAACGAAACTGTGGCAGTTACAACCACTGTACGACAAGTACGCGGTTAATACAGTTGAGAGTGATGATAATAATCTGGCAACATTGGAGCCGACAGTAAAGTCCAAGGTGCCAATAAGGGAGAATTGAACCAATCAACTCGACTGCAAGTTCATGGTATTGCCCGCTTGGTCTCCCGGGGCTGTGTTACTTTAATCCAGAGCCTGTCGACGTAGTCAAGCACTTCTACTTCCTGTTGCCTTAGAAGAGTTGCTTAAATCCTGGTTTCCAAATATCACTATACGGTGTACAAAGCTATGATGGATAGCACTATCAACACCCGATCCTCACTGGCAACTTTGGGAACTAATGGAGCACCAAACTATCGGGTTATCTTGTCAAAAGATACGTGAAGTGTGATCTCAACCACCAGTTCCCGGTATCATAGTTTGGGTCCTTGACTCCTCACGTAACCTCGTACCTTACATACCAGGCTCTTTGGCCAAAGCCTTCGATGGTCACAAAACTCTTCAGTATGGGCACACATACAGACCAACAGGACACTGCTCTGTACTGGTGTACGTATGATTTTTACAATTCGCATTGCTTTCGCATTATTTTCAACCTTTAATTATTGGGGAAAAATTATCACACCTGCTCTGTCTATGAACCAGTCACCTGAAGGACGTGACCAAAGGCTCCCTTCAAGCTGACTTTTCCGGTGTTCGTGTCCTCAGACAAGGTAGACAACCTTTGAAATTGTGTTGTGTTTCTTAAACGCGGTTGAATGATCAAGCTCATTGCTTGAAACCGTCCTCACTCTCTTCGAAGGCTAGTTGTCACCTATGTTGCCCTGGAGATTCGGTCTGGGCACTGCAGTATTAGAGGTGGTTCTGAGTCTTTGAACTGAAGCGGTCCTACGTATGCGGTAACCAAACAACAGACTCTTTACAACCGAATCAACCAGTTAAACTACGGTTAACAAATGGTGAACGCTGTTTCCAATGATATGACTACTTTTATGGAGGCTCGTGGGCTACGCCCCGAAGTGGGGGGGGGGAACGGTAGTAAGGTGTCGAAGAGTTCCAGTAGACTTATTAGGGCTGTTGTGTCAAGGAGAAAACATCTCAATATCTCGAGCATCGTGCCAGCTAAACCACAAGATGGCGCCACACATTCAGTTGCAAGATACCACATACGAGAGTTTGAGCTTGGAATTCACTCGAGTCCTTCGTAAACGTCAACTCAATCTGCAAACGAGTATGGTTCGCCATAAACGCTACCTGTCTGTGTGCAACAAAAGATTGATGCTTTGATGGAACAAATGACATATGGTGACCTTAACACTTGTGTTAGTTGCATGCCCCGGAAACAGCACAACTTTCAGGGCCGTCCGATACGTCTGATACGCTGATGGATGACAGTGGCGAACGGCTCTTAAACCTATACTCTAGCCATCGACTCCTTCTGGTCTGTTGGGACTTTTGCAACTGGGAGTCGTCTTGCAGCCTGAAGTTCACCACCTGCAAGTCCACCACATCGCCGTAATTTATCGATCGGAAGGTTCCATCTGAGACTACCTGTCGTAGTGGAACACCACCTCCGTTCATGCTCTTACTTATGCAGTTCCGTAACCAGCGATCCGGAGGGATTAAAACAATATTGTATTTCAGCTACTTTTCAGAGTGACCTTGCTAACGATTACACAGCATATGTCTTTTTGCATCGGGGATCAGTAGCCGAACATCATGTCGTTAAGCTGTAGCGCCCTTTCGGTGCCCAACTGCCATGCCACCCGAAGGTTGCTCGAGGGCTGGGATACTGCCAGGTTGCCCAAGCCTAGACAAGGGAAGGTAAGAGACAGGGGTCGGGTTCGAACGACGGGCCTGCTGGTCAGTAAATTCGCACTCTAACCACTTGGGCCATCAGGTGCTCCACTAATTAGCCTTTAGGATGTCTAAGGAGCAAAACAAACCGCATATACCGATGGACTCAATGAAGTTTTTTTAGCCCCACCGAACAACGATAGTGGCAAATCGTGATTCTCAAAATATCGGCCTTCAGCTACCCATGATCATCATCATTCCGAGGAACGATAAATAAAGGTGACGGACGCCGCGAGCGAGAGAAATAGAGATTGTGTGGGCTTCCCATCCGTTTCCGTCCGTTGCACACACCAGTGAAGCTGCCCCTCGGGTTTTACCCACGAATCGGCTATCACAAACGAGATAGTGAATCGGTTGTCTACGGAAAATACCAAACCACCCGCTAAAGATGAGCTCCTCGTTGTACCGTTTAAAGATGAAGAAGACGCTCTTTTTTTTACGAAATCACCAATCTCCGGTGAAATGGGATGGCCTGCTGGTTTAGGTCAATGATTGTGCCAAATTAGAAGTGAGTTTTGGACAGACTTCAGATCGCCAGAGAATCAGGCTCATAGCTGTGGTATTTAATATTTTGGTGACCATAACTGCTCGTTGACTAGCTCAGACTATGAAGTGGCGGGGACCAAGTTGTTTTTCGGATTGACAAAGTTTCATTGACCAGATTTTCTTACTGCGATAACTATGAGAGCATTACCGTTATGGAATTCTATTTTCGCCATCAAAACGCAAAGTTTTCCATGAGGACTGGTTATGACTCCACAAATGAAACTTTTGGCACTTTGGATAGAAAGTGGCAAGTGGAGAGTGGCTGTTCATATTTTAATCACCCCACCAAATCACAATTTTTCGCAACATCTTCGAATAACAGAACCCTGTGATGCATGGTCCGGACCACCACATCAAGTTGTTAGGGTGGTTGGGCTGGATAGGGCTGTATATTCAGCACAAAACCATAGGAACCGCTTCGCTTTTTGTTGCCCGTTTCTGACAAAACGGTGAGCTACCTCCGATGTATCCCAAGTGGTTACAGCGCGAATTTATTAACCGGAAGGTCCGTGGTTCGAACCCGACCTCTGCCTCTCGACTTTCCCTGTCTAGGTTTGGGCAACCTGGCAGTATCCCAGCCCTTTGGGTGACATGGCAGTTAGGGACCGAAAGGATGCTACAGCTGAACGATTTTTTTCATTACCGTTCATTTCCCATATCGTTTACTAGATTTTTATCAACTCTCCTCTGTGACTCTGGTTTTCGCTCCTCCAAGCTGGACTCAGACTGTTTTTTCGAAGACCGATTACAGTCCTTGGATATTCTGCTGCTTGTTGATCGTCATAGGTTACACTCTACCCACTCCCAATCTTTCCATCCAGCTTTTCTGACAATAGTCTGATTGAAATTGACTGCCAGTGAGTGGATTAACAGTACGTGGATTGGTTCTCCTTCACCAATTCATATGATCAGGATGTTTCGTGCATGTTTACATGGCATGTACTTAAGTGTTCCGAGCGGTACCACACGCTGTCGTTGGACCAACTAATCCCTCATCCTGAAAGGTCCTTTATTTCACACTTGCTGATGCCTTTCCTGTTTTGGGCTTTTTCCGATTTCGCCTTGTCAGTTCTCTCCCATTTTCGTCGATATTCTTCGTTCGGTCTTGATAGCTTTGGAAGCAGCCCCAGTGTACTTTATGTTATTTCTGTGTCATTTCTGTTGTCATTGTGGTACGAAATTTTGGAACATATAACTTTTCAACCTGAAGGTCGTTCTCTTGTATGCTATGGTTTACCTGTCTGTTCGCCCACATTTTTTTCACGGGCGAGGTTCAGTTCTGATGCGTCCTAGAAGCAGCTCGACACTGATTGGCTAGATGTTGCACTGGTACTGGTCCTTCACTTCTCTGAGCTTTCATTGAGGCCAACCATCTGATGGCCTCCATCCTATTTGATTTAGTTGATTACTGTGTTGTGTATAAGCAGTTTATCACCCAGGGATCTCCGCGTCACTTCTCACATCAAACACTGTAACTTCAGTGTGGCAAAGCTTCGGGACTAGCAGCTATCCTTTTGAATTCCTGGGGCTGTTAAGACCGCATACTACTTTGTGCATACTTCAGTATTCCATAGATAATCTCTGAATGCACATACTCCGATATTTTTCGTCTTTGTGATCAGTAAATCTTGTAGACCCACGATCCAGGAATCTTATTCCTCGAACACATCTTTCGGTTTATTAGGAATCGCTGGAAAACCCCTCTAGCAATTTGGAACATCTGGAATCAGGCGAGGTCACGCCAAAACAGTTTGGGTGGTTGGTCGATTCAAGAGGGTGCTGCTGCTTGCCAAGCTGTTTTCATCTCCGTCACTCATCTTGACTATTTTGGCCATGCATCAGGCCACTTTGCTTAAACCAAAAGTTGCTATTTTAGTTGACGTGTCTGTCTTTTTAGCGAACGGTATAAGCCCCGTAAATATTTGTCTTTTTAGGATGACTCACCCTACCCAGTTGATCCAAGCTACGCAAAGCCCAGGACTGATCCTTCTCAAGAGGACTATTCTTCATGGGGGATCGTCAAGGCTGTGCAATACGGAATATTCCCGCGTGTTGTCCAACTCATCGAGCCTGAGAGTGTCGGTTCAGAAAATGGAGTAGGATACGATGTGAATCAGCTGGACGATGAGGGGGTTTCGTTGCTTCACTGGGCTGCAATCAACAACCGGATCGCGATTGTACGCTATCTACTTGCTAAAGGTGCTCAGGTGGACCGTACTGGTGGACATTTAGCAGCCACTCCTTTACACTGGGCCATTCGTCAGTCCCATTTGAATATGGTACATCTACTGATACTTCATGGCGCTGATCCGTCTATTCGTGACAACACAGGCCTGGCCTGCATTCATGTTGCTGTTCAGATGGGCAGCATACCTGTGATAGCATACTTATTGGCGACGGGCATTGAAGTTGATAGGTGAGTATACAAAACAGGTTTTGTCTTCACCCAATTCTCCTTGATTTCTCCTCATACAGCCTATCTCCAAAAAACATGGTCTTCCGGGTCTCTTTGCAATTTTGTTTTTACCCCGTACCAACGATAATTATTTCCTTAGTTTGCATCGAGATCTTCGCCACATTCACTCGGTAAATGTTCCAATACAGGGTTGGTTGATGTCCTAGTTTCGCTGTCGTTTGTGATCAGTATCAGTATTTGTCTGCAATAAAGCCGAGTCTACAACACTACGGTATCAGACAGATGAATTAGTCGAACTGTTACCCACGTGAACTACAGGAGAGATTAACTCCATTCGGAAGTGAACGGAAGACACGGTTCTCATGTGGGATCGCTCTTTGTTGAAAATTAGGTAGTGTGCCACCACTGGGCTGTGTGATGAAGCCGGGTTTAACCAGTTTCTCGTTTGCAATATCGACATCATAGTCTTATGATTTTGAATGTATATTATTCACAGTTTAGCTGCTCTATTTCATTCGGCTTTGTCGTTTACATTAATCTGGCACTCAACAGGTAGAGTACTCAGGCTGTCTTAAGTGGTAGAAACCGTAAAGTTATCGTCATCTGGGACCAGGATAATTTCCCTGCATTTACGTACAATTGATTATTCAGTTGGCTTAACTAACTCTCAGTCCTCTGAATGGTCTCGCACTGAAGAACAAGCTGTTCAAGACTCACCTTTGGGCAGTCTTCCTCTGTGCTATTCCTTTTAACCGGAGGCTGGATAAATAGTGTTGCGTCCCTATTTTCATTCACATTAACTAAGGTTGTGTTTTTAAAAGGAAGCCCCTTTTGCGCACCGTACAACACGAGGAACGTTTCTCCAGCACTTAAAGTGTAGTTGTCAAGTAATTCACGTAGCCAGTTCCCTCTGTCTGAGTTGAAACTGAAAAACTTTGTCTCTCTCTCTCTCTCTCAGCATTCAGAGAGAGCATGTTTGTTTTCCTACGTTTGTGCATCGTCATACCTTGAAATTATGTATTGGAGTCTTCCTGTGAGCTCAAGTTTGCCTTTTCTGGCCTGTCAATCACAAAGAGTCGTTCACGCTTCGTTGCATCCCTTTATATGCCTCGGTCTTACGGTCTAGGCAGTGGCACTAGCCTTCCTTTTTCGCTTCTGACACTCGCATTCTATCAGCTACTCAATTTGTGCATGGGTATTAGCTCATTCACTGTCACTGCTCGTGACAGTTCAGCATTTATGGTGCGACGTACTTGGGACTCATTTCTAGCTTTTCGATTACTCCTATCTAGGCTTGGGCAACCTGGCAGAATATTAACCCACATGCTTCTTCTGGGTAGCAAGGTAGCTGTGCGCCTAATGCGTGCCATGGTTTAACGGCATGGTTCGTTGCTTCCCGACACAAATCACAGTCTGGGGATTCCAGGTTCCAGCTACGACTATCCGACACTGGACCAGTCAGGGAGCATAGAATCCAGGTCCTGATTTTTACCCACATCACTCGTTTAGTCAGTTCTCCTCCTATCCTGGTGCAGCTATCCCGGTGATTCCCCATCATAGCAGGGAGGCACTGGGCTTGGGTTTCGCCCCCCACTAGAGCTCATCGGCATCGTCAAGTGTATTGGTTTTTGAACTGCAGACATCTAATATACTGAGCAACCGTGTTTCCACTACTCAACTTGCTCAATCACCTTGTCTTCCAAATAATGAACATGGTTGTTAGCCCAATCGGTTGTCGGCCAGCTGAATCCAATTGGGTGACTCACCATATCAGCTTTACAAAAAACGATTGTTGTTTCCCCTCTTCTGAGGTGCTCTCTTGGTAGTGCGAAAATATGTAGTCGATGAGGGTATTTTCTATTATGAGAGTGACTTCCAAGAACAGTATTGTATAGCCGCTTAAATATCCTCATGGTTGGACGATCAATAATGGTTTCGGGACCTCGCCATCAGGTCAGTACATACCTACTGGTTGAAGTAGAATTGAAAAATGAAATACGCAGCAAAGATTCGTTAGTGAGATGAAAAAAAGTAAAAACACGAACGATTGTTCGTCTGCACCCCCACGTCGCATTTAATGGAACAGTCCAGAAGATCGTTGTGTGACTCGCTCGGTTGATTCGTGTCACATGACCAAGGCAGACTCAGCGTTTGTACGGAATGTTGTCAACACAGTACGGGTTTCGCAGACGTAAGGCGTCTGCCTGGGCTGTAGTCAAGCCACGACGTTGGATCGATACTGTCAGTTTAATGAGCACACGGTGAATAACATGAAATTGCTCATTCGGAGTGACTATGTGCTCGGTGTCAATTAAGTGGGGCGCGATTGAGCTTTTGGCTGAACCGTTGGGTCTAACGGAATTCCGGTAAGAGGGATGCTCATGTATTTTCTTAAAAAGTTGCCGTGTGGTGCGCCCAACGTATCCCGCCGAACGACATCAGGAGAAGGAATACACAATCATATTCTGGGTGTCTTTGGGTTTTAAGTTGAGCAACAGGTTGGTCGTAAACCAATACCGCAGAGCTCCAGCGGGAAACGTGCTTTGTAGGGATTAAAACAAGCGGCGATTGACTGTGTCCGCCAATAGATCGTCTCTGTGCGGTAAACTCAAGTCTATTGGCTTCTTTCCAACAGTCTTGATAGGTGGTTGGTGAAGGCGATCGGACATATTCTTGGTTATAAACCTCTCTGGATAATCATTGACTCGGAGCACGTCAGCAGTGTGCTGCAGTTCAGAGTCCAGTGTATCAGCAGAGTCGCCATGGGCTCTCCACTTGGTCTTTTGTTGAGTGACATTTTTATCGGTAAGCGGCAGCTTGGTCGATTGAAAGAAAGCCCACGTGGACGGGATAAACTTCCTCAGTTTTGTGCCTTTGAGGCGGAAACGAACCCTGATTTAAACTTCAACGAACCGAGCTAGGCGTTTTTGCTCTGAACTGAGGCATATTGCTAACATGCTTTGAGCGAGTGGTTATCCAGAGAGATTTATAACCTGTACTGAGCTGATGACGAGATTCCAAAAAACATTAATGATTGTCGCTGTGTTCTTATTGCATAGTTTCTGCACAGTGTTACAGATTTTCAGTCGCACACGGATGTTTTATGAGCGTGCTTTGTCCGAGGGTTAGGTTACGCGATAACGAGAGACAGTGTGGGAAGCGTGGTGAAAATTCACGGATGTCATTAGTTTTGCTTTGTGACTTACATGCTTGCAGATGGGTAGTTTTCAGATCTCCTGACTGAACTCTAGTGTGAATCGTCACACAACATAGCCCGTTACCAACGTGTAATTGACTTGACGAAGAAAACAACTCTACTTATTGTGAAATCGGCAAACAGTCGTTTGTGTGTCCATCGTACTGATTTCTCGGCTATTCTGGCTGTATCGCCTCAAATCCCCCGATCACAGCTATGGTATGATTTAGCTAATGGTGCTGTATGGGAATCTCAGACTAAATTATCGATCGACTTCGAGCCGGCGATACACCAGCAGTGGTGACATTAGCCTGTAGATCTGGATCATCATCGTTGTCTGTCGCAACTTTGATGGACCGATGGTCAACGGCAGTTTCACTGCGGTTTCTCCTTTTGTTGAGTAAACAAGTCTAAAAGTGTCTGCTCCCCCCCTCCGCGAAGCTGCAGAGAAGAAATGTTTCTGCCTCAGGTATGAGATTATACTAGAAAAAAATCTCACGCCACCAGATCTGCCTTTCCCAAGCAAGTGTCTTGGCGTGGGTTTGTACCCTACTCGTACCGTGCTGTTTCTTATGTTTTTACGTTGTATTACGTTTCTTATGGTCTTATGGTCTTATTTACCTGATTGCTAGGTAAATAATTAAACTGTCGTAAGAATACACTTTACGTTTGAGCACACGAGATTCCATTCGCTCTGGTCAGCTGATCGTCGGAGACAAAAAATCCAGATTCAATTAGACAAATTCTGTCTTAATGTATTTTTTGTTGTTGCTTGAACTGTACCTATGTGTGTACCGCATTGCTTTGATCAATATTGGCTTGAGTTGACATGATGTACTGGACTCATGACGACAAGATGGACTCGTTGGAGAAGTCCTCTGTTATATCCGAAGGCGGTTGAACCCGATGCTGTATACGGTTGTCCCACTGAAGTTTGTCCACTGCAATGAAAGCGAGTCAACTCATCAAATGGCCTCATTAGTGGTCTCGCATATCAGGTCGTCACTGAGGAAGATCGGTTTTTGTATCCTCTCTTAGAGAATGGTTGTAGTACATACTGTTCATGGCTATATAGGGAATGAGATACTGTTAGGGTCTTCAAAGTTAAACAAAAAAAGATTAGGATCCTAGACCAAAGTCTTTGGCTCGGAATCCAATTTGTAAAGCAGCGGTGGTTGGTATGAGACTACCAGGGTAGGGCGGCTTTTAAGGAACCTGTTCCACTCCTCTTCCAGGAGGTTCAGGGGCCTAACCTCTATCCAATGACCAACCTGCTGTTAAGAACTGTGAATGTCACACAGTCGATCTTCATTACAGCTCATTTCGTCATTTGACAGTTCACATACCGTCACACCACGCTGAGGTTCATCATTTTCATCACTTTCATGGGTAGTGACCACTCTTCGAAGAGCTTTTAGCTTGTACACGCCTGTAGAAGGTATACTGAATTGTTGATCATCGTATATATTGCTGTCAGTTTAGTGCCATATCAATTTTATCCTCCTGGCTTGCTTTCAGGCAAGTGTTTGCAAAGTGACACAGAAGTGGCAAGCATAGAAAATACGAGATGCAACTTTTGTGGGTCTTCTTGGGCCTCTCTTGGGCCTTCACACCTCTTTTCACGGATCTACCTCCACTGCTTCTTAGTTAAGCCAGATAGCTCATCCGTTATCATCGGTTATGTCTGAAATTGTTCTCACAAGGCAGACCTCACGAAGGATGGAAATATTTGTCTCCCTCCTGGGGAAGAGGTGGCCTGATTTCATCGTATCCTAGTTGACGCAGAACGCCATCTTTGGCTCGTTGGGTGTATGTCTTCTTTCGAGAAGGCATCACTTGGAGGTGAACTGTTACTTCTACTACAACTGTAAGACTCAAAAGTAAGCGGTACCATCAATTTGGGGGAGCGCACACCCGTGTTCCTCACTCGAGTACTTCGTTTTGAACTTGGAATATTCTTGTTGAGTGGTACTCATTTTTGCTTCAAGGTGACTGAGAACCATTTCATGGTGCTTGATACGTTTGTACGTTCCGGTGATAGGACTGCGATGATAGGTCTCCCGATCTGTCTCCTTGTTGGATTTTTCTCAGTTTGAGACTATCGTAAGAGCGAAAACGAACTGCGGTGATTTATTTCGGAGAAATGTTCGTGCATTTTATCCCCATCGACCAGAGCTTCTGTTTTGAGGAGATACTCATGTGCAAACAGAATACTGAAAGACGCATTGGATGGTTCTTTTGAGGACTAAACTAGATACATTCATTTCACTTATCCGTGATGAATACATGGTTTTATTGAGTCATTTGTTCCCTGAATCAAATCCTGATTCTGGAATATCGGATCAAGTTTGGACAGATTCTCTCTCAACATTTAGAGTTTATGCCTATTTATCACTGGATAAGTAGTACCTTTGAAGAATGACCGTTAGCTTGGAACCGAACATTGCCACAATAAGCTGTGTGTCTAAAGAGTGTTAAAGGTAGCTATTCTTTCGAGCAACAGAATCAAAACGACGCTTCGATGCTGCCAACATTCGGTCCCCATGTATGTGGATGAACGCATCGTTGATGGGTTGTCTGGTGATTAACCGTAGGAGATACCCTTTAGATGACTGAAAACGAATCAGGAATGTGCTTAGGATAAGCGCTGGAGCTCTGTTGAGGCGGGATTTTCCCTAATCACTCAGACAGGCTCTGCCCGGATGATAAAATGTAGGGCAATGCACACAAGACCACATTCGATTATTTGGAGGACACAGGGACCGAAAAGCCACACAAATAACAGAATTAGGGCGAACTGCACAAGTGGCCACTAGTTCGCCTGTTGTCAAACAATTGAAGATCATGAATATCTGGGTTTTGTGACCAACCGAAAGAATAGTTCCATATCGTATCGGTCAGTTCCTACCTGATAGGCGTTAACTCATGTAGCGAGGTGAACTGATGTTTGACGATGCACACGGTCGATTCCGTCTATCCCGTATTCCATGTGTACGACAAACGACATCTGGTGTCACAGCCACTTTATGGCGTACGTTCATTATTCGTTTGTTAGTGTCTGAGCCTCGCGGATTCACCGGAGCAACAGTTGATTTCCATTAGATTCAGTGAGTGGAGAAATTACAAGCGATTTCGTTTATAAAACACCTACTTTAGCTGAGGTCAGCTGCGCTCAGAATGAACCGCAGCTAGTCTCATTGATGCTACCTAGTTCTGACACACCCTTTTGACTGTAGACTACAACGGAGAGTGAAGAAACTTTGTGTATTCGTTACAAACATTTTGGAACGAAAAGTTGGGGGAGTATTCGTGACTCCACTTCAACCAATTGAATGTTGTTTTCCGAATGTAAACTTGGTTACACTGAAAATCCATTGCTTAATGTTTATCTAATCCGACAAGAAGTTCATGATATAGAGTTGTAACGAAGTAAACGTCAAGCTAACGGTTTCAAGCTTTTGTCCCGTACGGTGATCCCTGTTACCTGTGATTGAACCAGAGTAATGGGCCTATGAGTCTGCGCCCGTGATTCAACTCCTGAACCTATGTAAGCAGCTTTGAACGGAGTTATCAGCACAGTTTACTCTCGTGGCTCCTTGGATTTTGAAAGGACCATAGTTATGAGTCGTTTTGCACTCACTCAGTTGATTAGTGCTCCACTCATCCGTTCGCCACAGAGTGACCATACGCTGAATCAGTGTTCACTAATCCACTAGATCCAATCACACATGTCAACCAGAGTAAGTTTCAATCACCTGCAGTGGAAAGCGCGGTGAGCTCGACTGAACCCAGTCCTTATCGCCACCACCCCAACTGCGATCCGATTTGATTGTCTGTTGATGCAATGACGGATCACGGGAAACCTGATTGAAGCAGCCTACCAGCGTACCGTCTCCTTGACCGAAAATCATTCTAGGCCTGAGACGCTCGATTCAAGTTTTTTTCATCGGGTTGTACAGAGTATGGAAGAGATTTCAAAGGGACAACTTTATGTGAATCGCGTTCGTACTTCATGGAGTAGAAATATCAGTTCTTTCCGGAATTCCATCGTATCTGGGTTTTTGTTATCTTGTCTCAAATACCTTGTTACGGGCTAGTAAACTGTGAATAGGAACTGTGAGCAGTTTCGCACGTGATGACTATGTTAAAAAAAACCCACTAATGAGCTAAGAAGGTCAGCGTCTGGTGTACTGGGTTTATTCCACCTTGTCTTATCTAGCACATCATACTACACGGTACTTTGCGCTTGTCAGCTGTCCGACACATATCGGTTGGCCTCATTAACACAGTTCCTTGCATATGCATTTGTACCTCACGGTTCTCTTAGCCTGAGCTCTGTGCGCACGTGCGCGTGTGTGGGTGCTTGATTCGTTCGTCTATCGATCACAAAAACTGCAGATACGACGTTTTCTTGACTCACCGTAGACAGTTATTTAGACCACGCTAAATAATTTAAGTGCACTTCTATTCAACTCATCTTGTATCTGTTGTCGTGAGCGAGCGGTTTTTTGTTACCTTTTTTTCAAACAGGTTTCGCTTTTCCCGGTTGGTCGATCGTGTTGCCAACCCTGACACACCCGTCACTGGTTAACGCCTCAGATTTCACTGCTCATTCAGAATCTGTTTGAGCGGGAATCGAGCAATTTCCTCAGACTGGGCTAGAATATATCGCGAAATCCTAGTCAGTTAGCGGAATTGGTTTTTGTAGGTGATGAGGGTATTCAAAAGAGATTTTACCCTGCAAGTGAAGCCAACATGTGTTGGAAACAGTGTAGCACTGTACAGTTGGGCCATTCGTGTTAGAAGTGCAGTGGCTCTGGTACCGACATCATAGGCACACACTTTCCGGCTGATTTTTTTGTCATTCGTGATTGATTTAGCCGAAACTTGTGCGGTCGCGGTTGTCGACACATCCGATGGTCACACAATCAGATGTAGGATGGATTCCTCTTTTTCGAATGACATTGACAACTGCGTGGTACCGCGAGATTATTTTCGTCTTTTTAAAGCTGGCCATGGGACGACATAACCCTGTTTTCGGGCCGTTCATCAGGTGGAGCTTCAGTCTATGTGAACCGGTTCGGTAGAAGTGCCGGTTGGCGAGTGAAAGATGGGCCACGGTTTTGAGTGACATGCTTGGACTTGACGGAAATGTGGTTAAGTGGAATTACACTAGAAATAAATTGTTCAGCTGTCGCACCCTGTCAGTACATAGTTGTCTCAAAAAAAGCGGGAGGGATGAGTTACTGCCAAGTTTTCCAAGCCTACAGAGGGGCATTCTGAAACTAGGCATTGGATTCAAATTACGAACCTTCCGGCCGTTAGCTCCGCGCCTTAACTGCTAGGCTTTCTCGAAGTGGGTTACCATGCGTTTGAGGTGGGGCTTCAGGCCCTTCGGGTGCTTGCAGTATACCTCTCCCCGAATTCCCTCTCTTCTTATATTTTACTATCCGTTATACGCTTGAGCTAGATTAGAGGGAATGTACGACTAGTGCCGTTAATGGTCACGATTACCCATAATATGTGAAACATATGACTCACTTCGAATATCGTGGGTCATAGTGGCGGCGAAATCATCCACTGACATGCTATCCTTCTTCCTTTATGGATGCCCCCTTCCTTACCTATTCTCATAGTGTCGCCATAGGTTTTCTCCTAGTTTAGTGTACTCACTTCATCACCAGATACTGATGCCTTCAGCGAACCTCTAACCGTTCTTAATTTGAGGATAGCCCGTTCTTTCTCGGTCATCCACCTAACTGTCCGATCCTCTGTCCGCTCATCCATTTGCAGTCGCGATGCGAACGGACTTACCCCACTTTTGGTCGCTTGCATGCACTGTCGGTCTGCAGATGTTTTCCGTTTACTCATCACATGGGGTGCGGATTTGTCGTTGAGTGATCCACGCGGGAATACGGCGGCGCATTATGCTGTGAACTTTGCTAATGTGCCGGCAGTGGTCGCTCTAGATAAGGCCGGAGTTGACTGGAATTCACCAAACGGTGAAGGCAAAGCTGCCTATGAGGTGAGACGGGTTGGATAGATATGAATTATTCTCTATTGTCTTTCATATTATGTATTTTATGCTCCAACTTCTGATGTTGGCTTGGGACCCTGGCTTTCATTGGTTGTTGATCAGGTGACTGTTGATCTGTTCGCCCAGCTTGGCCGAGCTTTCAATTACAAAACCTTTTCTAAGTTATCGTTTTGGATAAATCTAAGAAAAGCGTAAGACATTGAACACTTGTTGACATAAGAATACTCACACGGTTGATTAGAACTTCTCGGCAGCCCACTTTCAGTTTTACCCTTCTTGGGGTACATCAGGTAGGCATAGTTGCCGAGTTTCCGTCAATCATATTCCCCGCTCTAACAAAAGAAACTGTGCATATTTAGCGACGAAGACCCATTTACAAGTGTTAACGGGAAACTCAACTGGATGGCAGCTGAATCTCTCCCTTAGTCTCCCTTAGTCATCTACGGGACTTGCTGCATATAAGCTGTATCGTGCGTCGGTTGGAACGATATTCAAGATATCGAAATGTATTTCTGCACTATATTACATGTTATTCGCAATGGTAATCTACAGTAAATCGAGTGAGGTTTTAACGTAACTTTCGCCTCCCTCTATGTGACTTTTTTGAGACTGTTTTCTGTCACACCACATTCCCCTTCGAGTACGAATACAAGTGTCAAAGGTCTTCTGCACAGGTGTTATGTAATTTTTGGGAGTTCCGGCTGTTTGGATTCGACTAGAGTGATTGTCCCAGATGATCCAAGTTCTTTCCATGGTGAGCCTGACTAACGGTCTTCAATCTCGTTATCAGCACCATTAGCTAGGCATGAATGACAGCCATAATAATTATTGCTGACAGTAGCGTCAGATAAGAACACTGTGGCTTCGTACCTCGATTTTAATTTATTTGAATGGAACTTTATAACGGATAGTGAAATATTGGACAGAGCTAGTCCACTAAAAGCATCCGAAGTGCCTACACCTCAATCAGATAATCGAGATAGAAACTGACAGCATGAACACCACTGGCATTGGTTAGCAGCCATGTCTTCCAGTTTGTCCAACCAAGTGCAGGGAGAATCACGTGGTCATCCATCTCGTGGTCTCCTGGTCGATCAGCAGTACTCTTGGTGCGATCGTCCAAACTACCGGTTATTCTATTTTTTTTTGCTTTTAATAGCCTATCGGTTGTAGGTGTCTTCGGTTGTCCTGGGATTTGAATTCCGGTAAACATTTTAAGGTCAGCTCACCAGCGCATGCTTGAGCTAGCCGAATAATCACATTCATACAAATGAAAGTGTCCAACTTGGACAATTCCCCTCATGTCTGCTCTGAACTGAAACACGTATCACCATATAAGGACGACGCGGGGGACCTTCAGACTGATGTTTTCCGTATTCCGTTGTCGGAAGGCTGCTTGTTATGCTAGTTTCACTAAACTCGCTTTTTCGTTCTGAAGAACCACTTTCTAAATCTCTTCGTTACACCAAAAGATATTCTAAGTTTACCGTTTCGTATTCTCTTATGTTATTTGATGTCTAAGGATTACACTTCCCATTGATTACCCCATTTGGTTGTCAGGTTCGGAACATTCCATGGCTTGTCGACCGTGTTCGGTCAATGGCCCTTGCTCAATCTCGTTCCAGCGGAACTTCTGTCCGGATGTCTCGTCTACGGCTGACCGATTTGCAACACTCACCACGCTGGCGGTTCCGCATCACTGCAAGCATACCACCCCTGATTCTACTGGCCTGTGTCTTGCTGCTTAGCTGGGATGTGACTACAACTGCCAAAATGTTCGATGCAACTGCACACCCTTCATGGTGGTGGGTGTGTCTGATCAAGTTTGTCCTTTTCATCTTACTTGGATCCGGGTGCCGTCGTATTATTTCCAGGTTTTCGGATTATCGGTCACAGGTATGTGTCGGGCTTCCGAAGCCACAGGTTTTTCCAGCTTGGTTGTGGTCAACATATATGTTGGTCTACTTAATTAATTGACAGTAGCGTGGATTGATGACCAAATTCTTTGTGCACTTCGAGCACGTGATAACACCGATCGAAATTTCCTTACCCAATAAGTGCAATTTATGAACCATACATGCCAGTAATTTGGCTGCCTATAATATGGGACTTTGGGTTGTCGGTATCTGCTTAGTTTCTGCGTTTGTATTGATTTTTCGTTCGTGTCTGAATGATCTGTTCAAGATGGGGATACGATCCAATGCACTCGGTGTCCTCCGTGTGCAATTTAATTGGTGTATTGGCTGCATGGTTTCTCAATTTTCAGAGCACATTATCCCCGTTCTCTGTGGAATTGTATGCCGGGATAACGTAAGACGATAATACACTTGGTGTAGTTTTGCTTCGGAACTCTAATAGTCTGTCAAAGAACGTGTTGCCAAAGTTATCTGTACAAAGTATTCTCGCGTGTAAACCGCTACCTTGACGAGACGAATCCCACTCCTCACAGCTTCCGCTTCCATTCTAATTACGACTTCGCAAATGCGGCAGAAATCCCCTAGACCGCTCAGGCACCGCTTTTCCACCGCGAAGTACTTGCCGGATTCGTAGCTTTATTGCACATTTCTGTTGGACTTGGATACTGTTAGTAGGCAGCTCCCAAATCCCTAAATCTGTTCACCCCGTCTTCTATTGTTTTCGCCTGTTCCTTTGGAAGCTAAGCAACTGATCAGTTATCATTTCACACGACGACGCCTGTTCCTTGGAAGCTAAGGGTATGCAACTGATCAGTTATCATTTCACACGACGAACTCACGTACGTTAGTGAAGCTATTATGGGTTTCTGCTGATATCAGCTGCACTTCGCTGCGCTTATTTGTACCTAATATCCCGAGACGTATTGTTATGCGCGCAACTAGTGATCGGTGGTCGCAAACCGCTTGGAATAAATGCACAAAATTGATTGGAAAATTTCACGGCCAGTCACTTACAATCACAGAAGCCGTGCGGTCACTCGTAATAAATTTTTCGAGTTTGATGTTTTCCTTCGACGTGAAGTTGTAGAATTGGATAGGAATAACTGTGCTACTATTTTTTTCTCGTCATTTCATCTTGGAATGATCATTCCCAAGAAAACAGTGACTTGCCTGGCGGCATATAACTCTTTTCGTGTCCATTTACCTGGGTGCAGAACAATACATATACGCACACCGAATGTCAGACAAGCCTTTTTGTCATTTGTCTGATAATCATTGTTTGAAAACCATTGGTCGTTGTGATAGGTTATATCATTGACCATTGTTCAGAATTTCCGTTTATCTCCGTTTTATATGGTATTGGTATATGCTATCGTAATATCTACGTCTGTTTTTCTCAATTCGCTCTTTTTCCAGGTAATCTTGCTCTTCAGTCTAGCAACCAGTACAACCTTCCTTCTCACCGCCACATACCTGTTGTATATGGCTCCCCAAAGTAGCCATCACTATGTGCTCCACTTTTTCTTTGTCATTTGCGTTACTGGATTATGGACCTTCTTTTATTTGGCTGCCACCCGAGAACCGGGTTACGTGCATACTGTCACAAAAGCAGATCAGCAAGATGCGATCGTTCGATTGGTCGATGAAAGTGTGCGCCGGTTGGATACCGATTCCGAAGGCAATGACCCGTCCAAATCTATGCCACTTAATCCACTGGAACGGTTGTGCACAACCTGCTTGGTGCAGAAGCCACTGCGGTCGAAACACTGCGCTACCTGTGATCGCTGTGTTGCGCGGTTTGATCACCATTGTCCCTGGATCTACAACTGTGTTGGGGTGGACAATCATCTGCATTTCATGGCTTACTTGCTGTTCACTATTTTTTCCTGTCTGCTATTTGCTGTAGGAGGTGTGTTATATTGGATCGAACAACCGTTGTGTCAGGACAGCGATGGACACAATAGGAGCGACCCCCGTGAGTGCGGTGATCTTTTCGGCTGTGCAACTACTTTCTGGTCATGGCTACTTAATTTTTGTTAGTAGTTAAAATAAGGAGTGAAGTTACGCAACGAACACATGAACTACGTACGACGAGTCGTTTTTTCCGGTGCGAAAATAGTTCTAAGGGTGATGCCGTACAGTATTTTTACACAGAGGAGACGAGTAACGGTTCCTGTCAACATTAAGCTCCTCATTTAGGCACCACACCTCATGTACTTCGGATTCGTATGCGACTATCCTTTGGGAACCTCCTGTATTCCTCTTTTGCAGATAACACATTCATCTGGAATTTTTTCAAAAGTTCATATTCGATAACAAAGTCATTCCATGAGGCGTCCCCTTATACTTAAGCGTTCACAGAGGAATTCACACGTGATCTGAAAACACTTTATGTGCAGAGGGGCATGGTGGTAGTCGCACCAAGAGGTGCGACAGAGGTCGGGTTCGAACCACGGCTCCTCCGGTCAGTGAATTTGCGCTCTAGCCACTTGGGCCATCTCGCCCATCTTGCGTTTCACCCAACTGATTTGCTGAACCATTTCCATCTCCTTGTTTACTTTACCAACGCGTCTCAGGTCTGTGGGCCATCTCCCCATCTTGCGTTTCACCCAACTGATTTGCTGAACCATTTCCATCTCCTTGTTTACTTTACCAACGCGTCTCAGGTCTGTGGATAGTGTGGAGTTACATACGAAACGCGCTCTTACGACTACTCATTCACTTATCTTTCTGGGACCGGTATTCAAACTACGGAGCGTGTCGTCGCACAATATGTACTTTTGTAGCCAGTGCGAAGTGGATCATTCGCAAATTTTTCCGCATCGCTAGATAGTTGAGTTGATTCCAAGAGAAGAGATGCTTGGCCATCCCGGATGAAATTCATGGTTTGTCCATTTCTTGTTAAAGTCGATGCATTTAACCATGGAATCAATCTTACTAGATTACCCCGAGGGCAATGAAACATGTGAGTTGATTAACAGATGGCTGTCAGGTTTACCGCACTCAGTGACTACCGGCGAAACACCCACAATACATACATGTGATGAACACACGGTTTCTAGAACCTGGACGTATTTAGTACACGATTTATACCAGCCCATCTAGCACGTCATGAGTTTCTACTGACAATCATTCCCTCGTACTGCTGTGGTTAAGTTCAAGTGAGTGGTATACAGCGGAGCTGTCTTTTGTCCTACCTACATTACTAACTTACCTGTTTATTCATATCGAATGGACACCACGACACACACTGCCTCATTCCGTCTATTCCCCTCTGTCACTCTGTAACTACGACAGCTTGGACCAGCACTGTTCTGGCTTGGTTGACTTGCAACCCCTGGATTAGTTTCTGTGTTGTGAACGCGGCTTTCTACAGCTTCTGGACTTTTCTTCTATTCTTTTCTCAACTTTACCAAATGGTCTGGTTAAACATGACCACCAACGAACGGATCAACATTGATCGATATGTGGAGTTCGCCGGTGGGCTCAATTTCTACCGCGGGCAACGGTCCGGTGTTTCGAATTCCACCAGTCCATACGATCGGGGAGTCAGACGAAATTTGCTCGATCTGCTTCGCCTTCCAGGCTATATGGGGCCAAAACCAATGGATTGGCATCATACGTACTCGTTGGATCAAATGGCCGAGTGCAGTTGCAGTGATCATCACCTCGCTGAAGCCGGTCGAGTGAAATCTAACAGTGTGAAAAGGACGTAATCTAGTTGTGAAACCCTATTGAGCTCGTGATTGCTCTCTTTCTCCTCCCGTTCTACTACTCTCGTGTTATCGTTTCCGATGAAGCGCACTAACTAGCTTGAGCCTCCCCACTGTTGTCATCAAACCGAGCTCTTCATTTCCTCATTTCGTTTTGTGTTTTCAAACGACCAATACGCGATTAAAGCTGGCATTTTGGATCCCATTTTTCTGTTCCCGCACATTCTGTCTAGGTATCCTTTCTCGACCGCTCGTTCTGGCACACACAACTTCGAAGCTGTTGTATATTCACACACTTTTTATCGCAGCAAATTATTACAGCTGTCTCATGCATTATTATTCTGCTGGAGTGTCTGTTGAGATGTTTTTTTTCGATTTCTAGCGGAGGGTTCACCGTAAAAAGTCTTGGCTTGAGAAGGTAATGTACTGCTTTCGCATATCGGTTCATCGACTGTTTAGGCTATAGTCTTTAGTTAGAATACCCCAAAGCTCATCGGTTCAAAGATAGAGAGCGAACCTAGTCACGGTTCATACGCGCCCGCGTTTGGCGTATGCTATTGTTCGGAACGCCTAGTGACATGTATGTACATCTACATGGATGGTGTACACATAGACATTGACCACTGACATACATGTGCAGATGGTTTGAATATCCTTGCGGGGAATCAGGACGCTACCCACCTGTGTGGATTGTGTGGACTGTGGTTAGTTTTAACCATGGTCCTTGATGCCCACCAAGGTCGAATGTGAGCTTGAATCCAGATGTTTTCTGGCGCGTTTTTCCATGTTTTAGCAAGCCATCCAACTGGTACGTCGCAAAACGAGGTATAAACATCGGTGCAATCAGGTGTGACATCCAGTTCCCTAGGCTTTGCGAGCAGTAGTATACGCCAAATGCGAGCATGCATGAACCGTGAATAGGTTTTCTGTTGATCTTTGAATCGATGAGCTTTGTGTATTCTAACTAAAGACCTCTCATGTTAGATGTCTTGTTTGGGTCTCCATTCCTCAGTTATTGTTTCATGCTCACTTGTTTATCGACACATGCTTGCTTTTTCAAACGTATGGAAACACTGTCCCGATTTATGTGGATAGCCCAGTCGCTTTCCTTCTACCCTCCTATTTACCCGGCTGGCCCCAGAAATTACCCTCTAATCCAAAGGACCGTGTAAGTGCAGTCGGGTGCGGCTCGCACTCCCTTGTAAGATGAATCCAGGTCCAAGAGCTAGTCAAAGCTCCTACAGACTCCCGTCGTGCCGTTTCTCTGGGGATCAAAAAGTGTGACGAATACGCCCGATAATGTTGTTAACTCAGCTTCGCTTTCACACATATCGATTATCCCCACGGAATGCTGTCTCTGACGGAAATGTGCCGGTAGGCATCAACATGAGAGAAAGAGAGCGGCAGCCTGTGTTCGGATAATCGATCGGACTGGCTTAGTAGGCACAGCTCCATCTGGTGTGGCGAAGTCAGAACAACCCGTCAGTGGAGCAGCCACACTAACTACAGGGCTTGATAGTGACCCAAACTGCTCACGTTCGTTCAGCTTCATAGACATGAATATTGGTCTCGGAGAGTGGTGTGGTTATTTGATAAAGGCTTCCTTGTAAGTTGTGTGTTAGACACTGAAAAATGGTACGCTTCGGCTTTCTGGTACCCGGTCACTACGTCTTCGTCCATGGATGAAATACTGTCAGGTTGCCCACAGGCCTCAGAAACGAGCAGGTTTGAGTCACGCACACGCGTTACATGTTAGCACTCGCACTTCTGTCTTCCGGGCATGTGTCACTTTGAAGAACTAGATATCTCGGCTACATTCTAGAGCGACAGACATATATAGACTGAGTAAAAGGCCTTTAGGGGCAAATGAGCAACGTGACGTAGCGGTGGCTGTTTCACCGTTCGGTCGGAAAGCCAAAACACAGGGTCACCTTAGCAACCACGAAAGTAATTATTGATTGTTGAGCTATGCGGTAAAATAACTAAACTAAGATTCTAAAAGGCAATTTTTGGCTCATCGGGTCCTGATTTATACCGGAAACACCGGAGGATTGAGTATAAAAGAATGGGATTAATTGACCAGGTCAACAATGCTGTGCGAACTAACGAGAGAAACTTGGAATAGGCAGTCGGGTGTTGCTTCATCCTGCCGGTGGGGGGTGTGTTTGTGTGCAGCAAAACACTCCACACATAAGGGCATCCTATTCCCCCTGATCATACTTCCTATACACCTTATGTCTCCGTAGCACGTTTACGCGCTTTCCTCCGCGGGATACATTGTCTTCTGACTGTAGTATTTCAACAATCTGACCCACTAAACGAGACCAAAGAAGGGTGCAGCGGTCAGCGAGGTTTGCAACTAATGTTTGTTTACCGTGAGGGACCGCATTGTTCAAATGTAACACCCTTTCGGTGCCTAGCAGCCATGCCACCCGAAGGAAGCCCGGGGACTGGGATACTACCAGGTTGCCAAAGCCTAGACAGGGGAAGTCGATAGGCCTTCCGGTCTGTAAATTCGCACTCTAACCACTGAGCCATTCCGCACTAGTTTGTATGCTATCGAAGTCATGATGTGGAAATGATATGGAAGTTTAGTACTAGCATTTACTGCTTGTGAATTGTTGTCGGTGATGATCATAATGTGACGAAGAAACATTCTACACCACCTCAGAAGTGAACAACAAAAACAGCTGCTTTGGTCCGCATTGATTTTAGTTCTTGTTCATTGGGATCTAATGGACGTGAAAGCTACACAATTAACCGTATATTCGTGATGACTTTCCAGTTTTGAGGAACAAAGCAGGAACTCTTAGTGATCAGTATGAAAGCGGAACACAACAGTTTCCTGAAAGGAAAGGGCCACCGGAAAGCGAGCAACATCTTCACATTGTCTACACTATAAGGAAAACTCGTGGGTCTTCCTGGGTGAACAGTCTGCCTCCATACGTTTTCGAAAACGGATGGATGACTTCGATGTGAAGTTTGCATACTAGCTCCACACTGTCGAGTACCGATCGAAGGCAGAAACCATGGATGTTCAATGGAGTCGCAAAAGCGGAATTTCTACGCAATGCAATAAAAGACAAGCCATAACTGTTTTCATCCCGTAAACCTGCGGCATGCCATATCTGCTGAAATACCTTTGTATCTGGGCTCATTTTGAATTTGGCTAAGACGGCTCAGTGGTCAGGGCGCCAATTTACTGACCGGAAAGTCCGTAGTTTGAACCCTGCCCATGGTTGGACAACCTGACGGCATTCCAACCTTCGTGCTTCCTTCACGTAGCATGGCAACCAGGCACCGGAAGGGTGCTACGGCTGAACGAACGAGCCTCCGTGCGTGGGACGTCGGTGTATCCAATCGAAATCCGGTCAGCCGACTGATTTCACCAGAACAAGATGAAAATGACGTGAGTACAAATTCCATACGCATCCTGAAGCCATTCACGTCTGGAGTTTTTCTCAGAGTCCGTGTGATTATTTTTTGGGAGATTCTGCAGAATCGTCTCTACTTATACGGCATGAATGTTATAACCACCCTCTATCTTGCTCGATGAAACTGGGCTGTTTGGTGTGTTTTACACTGATTGCAATGGCGTTTCATCACTACGCCAAAAAGGACAGTACGCCGTTGTGTTTCGAGAAATGGGTGATCATGTTTCAGAGGTTTTGTAGTATTTCGTACATCCGTGTAACCGTTTCGGATAAACCAGTATGACTTTTTTTTGAACTATCGCCTAATGAGCGGCAGTAAATCAATACCGTACCGGCTTACCTGTCCAACCTGGGTACGTGGCACTCGAATGGGGTTTAAATGATTCTCCCGCTTTTACCAAAAGAGGTTTCGCTGGGTGGCGATTAGAGCATAGTAGGACTTCAAGAATCTGGAGGTTTTTTGTTTATTCAGAGGTCTGAAAACACTGTTCTCGGTCTTAATCAGTGCGGAATGCGTATAGGCACCGGCTATTCATTATTCGATTTCCCCTTAAATGGTTAACTCGGTGACGGATATGCTTAATCCGGCGCGGAATAGTGGGATGCTCATCCATCTGCTCAGGGCTGTCCGGTTACACGTGAGATTAGTCATTCTCTTGGTATTGAGTAGTGAAAATGCGGTGCGTTAGTTTTATCATTGTGTAGTACTTGGTGTATTGCGGCGATTGTCACGCGGAATCACAAGCCAGGCATTGTAAAGTTTTGACGCCCATCGTCCAGTTGCGGAATTGCATACATAAAAAGTACGTACACAAAACCAATGAATACCTCTTTCCCATAAAACGTATTGCACGAAGTTTAAAGATATTAAAATGTCACAGAAACGCTGTAGAAACAACATAGAACAAACGAAAAGTCAATATGATTTAGTGGCAAACGCACAACAGGCGGTAGCTCAAGTAGTCAAGAACTGCGCGTAAAAAGCTCGCGGAGAGTAATTGTTTAGATCAAATGTCGAAAATGCACGAGGGATTACGTATGTATATTGAATTTATAAAATAAGCGTCAATGAATTGGTAATTTCAGGCAAGGAGATAGCCGTTCAACTGTAAGGCGTTCTTGTTGTCAGTTTCTATCCTGATCGCCTGAGTGAGTGTCTGGAGGTATAAGCACCTCGGAATGACTGTAGTAAGCTAGCACTAAGCCCCTTCCCCGTCCACCTTTACTCTTTTCTTTACAATAAGGCTTTCAAATAAATCATGGTTGTACGGCAGTGAAGCATCGTTGTTGAACACTGATGTCAAGCTGTTGATAATGATGATGAAGGCCATTTCTGTGCCCAGCTGTTATATCACCCGATAAAATCACGAGTGTTCAAGCCCAAGCAAAAACATGCGAGATACCGGAATTGTTTTCGAACCTTCCGGTCACCAAGTTCATACCGGACATGCACGTTCTCTTTTTAAGAGAAGAATTGTGCGTCACCGGCCATATTTGATGGATGCGGTATACTATATTACAGCTGCAATGACGGGTGTGGCGAAAGCTGGTCAACGGAAGACTTCATTGTGGGACAACACAGGCGAAGCTCTCTTGAAGCGGTGTACGTTTCCGTTTTTTGAGACCTCCAGTCGGTAGGATCGGGACACAGCTTAATCTCTTTCCTGTCATCACGCTACAGTTTCTCTTGATAGGGGCGCTGGATATATGGTTAACGGAAACCCGGGGACTGCGTCCCAAAAAACGGCGAAACCGGTCGTGGGCTGTCGACGGATTTTCAGCAACCTTATGAGTACTACATTACAAAGGCGCTGGGTATTATTTTTTGCGTTGGACAAAAAGGTACGAAGAGTTAGTTTGCCTGAAAGTAAAACACAACACCAAGATAGTAATGCCGGGAAATATGGAAGGAAATAACATCAAGACGAGGAAAGTTTGCTTGTGAAAAAAAACTTACAGCAGCAAAATAACTATCCAGCTATGCTACTGGGAGCTCGTCAGGTAATTCTCGTTAAGATAGTTGTCTCCTCTCGAAACCTGGCCAGGGAGTCCTCGTGATGCAGCTGAGTACGACAGCCCTGTGGACACCTGGTGTCTTCCTCACCGTTGCTTGGGAACCGTTGTGGGGCTATTTTCAGCACATCCCCCGTCCCTTCATTCAGATTTGTCGTATAACATTATCTGTATCAGTGGCACTACATCGGTAGAGGGTCAGACGCCTTAGGTTACCACCATTCACTCATGGTTGCCATCAGACGCATTTAGGCGGCGGTGGTCGTCCACTTTGAGAGGCCAGGCTTCACCACCCGTGCAGAATTGCTGTGGGAGCCGATGACTTCTTGTTTCGTCCCTTCACTGAGAGACTGATATCGCGCCATAGCCAAAGCAGCAGCTGCTGCTTTTTTAAATCCACCCTTACTTTAGTGGTGATTCTCTCAGAGATTTGACTCCCCAATGGAGTAAAATGTTCGACCATTTTGAGTCTCTTACTATCAAGCGATAGCGTGGTTGAGGGTGAGGAACGGTCCTGAACAATGTGCACTTCATTGACCAGAGAAACACACCATAGCGACTTACTCCGATGTCATACATGAAGTGGATGTCGAATTCTTTCAGGACATTGTAGTCGGTATAGTCTAATCCACACACCCCACCTCTGAGTAGAATTTCCAGCGTGGAGGTTTTACAAGGTATCATCAATAGTGGCTAAATGGGATATCCTTGACGAATCGTCATAGGTACTCTAGCAAGATAGACTGTTTTCTACAGAGCATCTCCAAAGTTGGCTAGTCGGTGAGTGCCCTCTCGGGTGTCGAAAGTTCAAACTGGTGGTAGACAAACCATGATCTGTGCAAATTTTCAACAAACTTTAACCCTTCTGCATAAGTTGAGATTATATGAGTTGGCGAGTTGAGGTTCTCCTGAATCCACTCGGTTAACCTATGCAAAAGTCTCCGGCTCTCCAAACGCAGTGACTTACTTGGTAGCCCAGGCGAAAAGCTTGTCGTTCGATGTCTCGGAACTGCAGTCGGTTGATTCACAAGCCAAATCGACTGACATACTGTCTAGGTTACTCATAAGGTTGGTGAAAACTTTTCGACAGCCCACAACTGGTTTCGCTCATTTCGTTCGTCATCAAGCAGACGCATTCACTGAGTTTCCATTAACCTTACCTTCTAGCTGAACCCAATTTGAGCGGGTTTCGACTACTACTCTCATTTGTAAGCGAATTTTGTTTTGACAGGAGCTCAAGCGGACCATCATAAAGCTCATTTCGGGGCTCATCAAGCAGACGCATTCACTGAGTTTCCATTAACCTTACCTTCTAGCTGAACCCAATTTGAGCGGGTTTCGACTACTACTCTCATTTGTAAGCGAATTTTGTTTTGACAGGAGCTCAAGCGGACCATCATAAACGGGAGGTTAATGGAGATTCGTTTGAGCCTCTTTTCCAAATCAAATTAGTGTGCAAGTCGAGACCAGCAAGCTGATTCGTCCCTTTAGTGGTCCACACTATAAGATTCGCTAGTGTTTGGCCCTTTTTAACTGGTTATGGTGCTTCATAATGATAAACGCAACAGCAGTTCCCGAAACCGAGGCTCTGGCATCCCGAGAGCTGCGCAGATAGTACACTGCTTTCGATAAAAGTGCGGATGGCTCGAGTCGGACTGTTGCGCTGGTGTCATACAACTGTGTTTCTGATACATGCCGCGCACTTATATCAACAACTAATGGGGTACGAGCAACAGCTGGTAGCTACCTAATATATCCCAGGGTGTTTGAAGGTTAAGGGTGGATGTAGAAACGCATTTGATTGACTACAGCTTCTTTCAGAAAATTTCAAAGTATCGTAAAGCGGAATTTAAAGGGGACGGATATTGGTCAGATTGCTGCAACATGTCTTGCATTTTTCTATGGGTTGTTTGAGATAATTGCGCCAGCCGAAGTAGGGTGTTTTCTTGGAAACCCCATCCAGATCCATTTTCCCAAGGGATAACAGGGTGCAATCTACCAGGGGCCGGTAACCAAGACTGCAGCTCATGCGCCCATGGGAAAGCCGGAACCATCCATGATGTCCAGTATACTGTAATAACACATATGCTAGTGTGCGCCAGAACGGTTCGCTGCAACTCTGCGTCCATTCATCGGTCAGATGAAACCCCATTTGCAACGTGGGTCTTCTAGTAAAACACCATACCCCGGAGGCGACGGCGACCTACCAATAGGGTTTTGGCATGACTAAATTGGCCAGTTTAGCTCAATCACCGTCCTACGGGCACTTTCGGTGTTTTTCTTGGCAGTTGCTGGGACATAGCTCGAGATGGCTTGGCGATGAGAGCGCGAATTTACTGACGGGAGAGTCCATGCTTCCAACCAAACCTCTCCATCTCGACTGCTCCTGTCTAGGCTTGGGTAACCTGACAGTATCTCAGTGTTCGGGCTTCCTTCGAGTGACATAGCGGCTGCATACCGAAAGGGTGTTACAGCTGAACAATTACCGGGGTACACCCAATGATCCTGTCATTTTTATTTTTCAGCTCTGATGGCCGAAGAGAAACGTGAATTTCGCTGGGAATCGGGATATGAGAAAACATGGTGAGTTTCGTTTTAACAGTAGCTATTTTACCCCATTTGCCTAAATTCGATGCTGTACTCTCTGTCTATTTATGCGAACTGATGATTGGTTGTATTTGGTGGGGGGTTCATTTTTTATGGGTATGATATTTGCTGGGTGAGGCCTCAAAAACGCGATGCCAGTAGAAGAAACTTGATGACATCACCGCATTGATTCATTTAGGCGTCAGACAATACTCAGTTTCGAAGTGTACACAATGCAGGCGAATGCAGGTGAGAATCGAGCCAGTGAATTTCTGTTTGTCAGACGAGTTTCCTGAGAGCTAACTGCGGAGGCCACTCTATGCTGGATAAATGCACTTGGACCGCAGTTTGATTGCTTATGTGTTAGTAATTATGGTCTGTTAGTGCTACTATGAACCCTCTTTTGTGGGACTTCCGTGGTGGGTCAGAGATTAATACTTGTGGTATGGCTTTTGAATATAAGTTTGATTTGACGTAGAAAAGACGGTGATCCACTTGATTCACACTAATTCCAACCGATATACTACTGGTATCTGGGCGGTGTCAGCGTGCGAGCTTGCAACGTCCAATTGCAATAAAGAGCTCACCAAACGCGCTTCCACGCCTCAGTCACCAGTCAGGAGCGCGAAGAATCAGGGTGGAGTTTGTGGGTATGTGCGCCATGGGCCAGCGTCAATGGTAACTCAACTGATGAGGGAGTTCTTTCCGTTCTCGGATTTGACTGCCACCCATGACTTCCGCCTATCCGTCTTCTTTATATGCACTTGGATTAGCATTCAAGTTTATTCGTGCCCCTGTCTTCCCCGTTTTCTTCTTAACGTGGTGTGAACATATCTTGTTAGCACTCATTAGTGCAACGGAACTCCCGAAGAAGTGATTGATCTTCGTAGGCCCGCGAACTCAGGTCGTACGCAGACAGACCTCCTCGCAGTTGTTCCTGAGATCAGATTAGATCATGTCATCAGTGTACTACGGGATCTGTCTAGAAAGTCATTCATCAAAGTTGTTGATCTAACCACACACGTCATATGTAATCCAGTCCGAAGGGTGCTTCATAGGGAACGCCGGTTATGCCTAGACGTTATTTCGGGGCCAATCGTTACCTTACTTGATTTTCGCTGTGACTAGAGAAGACGAGGTCAGATCTGATCGTACCCGACTTTCGAGTAACTCCCTGGCGTGTCGACCTAAAGCTGCCACCTTGACGTGACGTTATTTCGCAATCGTTACCTTACTTGATTTTCGCTGTGACTAGAGAAGACGAGGTCAGATCTGATCGTACCCGACTTTCGAGTAACTCACTCCCGTGTCGACCTAAAGCTGCCACCTTGACGTGATGGTCGGGCTTGAGTGCTGCAGCGATCCCGCGGGCTACACTGGCTGGAACTTCGTTCCACAAGGTGCAACCATGCCAGGAAGGCCAAAGGGGAGCAGCCAGACCAAGAGCAGCGAGACCCCGTACTACGAGTAATCGTGCTACGAGGCGGTCTGGGGGTAAAGTCGTACTGTCCTCTGCGACAGGAGTGTGAAGGCAGTAAGGCGTTTCCCCCAGGCGACCAGCATGTCCATATTTATGG